CACCTCTGTGGTGGAAGAGCCCGTTCCCATCCACAAACACCACCTGGAGAAATACAGATGACAGTAAATATACATTTGACAGCTTAAAACACAACACACTGATGTCAAATTTAAGGAAATACATATGGCAATAAAATATCTTCTGATTCTCTGTTCTGATATTTGACCCCCCCAGCTTAAAACTCTCCTTCTTAATAAAGTTTATACCATATAAAGCTCATATTTAAGGATGGATCAGGTCACACTTGGAAGTTATTTAGATTTAATTAAAATAAGAAGGCAACAGCATTTGTTATTGACAATTAAATAGTGGAAAAACTTGCCCTAAATCCAATATGGCGGCTTTTAAAATGGCGGCCCTGTTAATGTAACTGGCCCTGGTGCTCAGATATTTAATTCCCTCTGACTTTTGACTCACTCTGAATCCAGATTTTAAATCTTACCTCAACAACAATAAAAAAAAAAACTATAACTAGCTGAGGTTAAAAACCCGAATAGATGGGATGTTTTTGTTCCTCTTTGTCTACAGTTTTTAGGTTTTCAGTGGGGAAACTGGAGACGTTTAAGTGTGACACAGAGTTTATAATTGAGCTATTGTCGGCCCCCGATTGTGCGTCTGGCTAAAAACTCTTCTTAATAAAGTTTATACTATATACAGCTCATATTTAGGGATGGCTCAGGTCACACTTAAATTGTGGAAAACCTTCCCTAAATCCAATATGGCGGCTTTTAAGATGGCGGCCGTGTTCCTGTTAGCCCTTAAAAATAAGCCCCCCTTTCACTTATAACTGGCCCTGGTGCTCAGATATGTAGCTTCCTGTGACTTTTGACTCACTCTGAATTGTGATTTTAAATCTTACATCAACAACAACAAGAAAAACAACAACTAGCTGAGGTTAAAAACCTGAATAGATGGGATATTTTTGTTCCTCTTTGTCTACAGTTTTTAGGTTTTTCAGTGGGGAAACTGGAGACGTTTAAGTGCGACACAGAGTTTGTGATGCGCTGTGAAGAGGCCCCCGGTTGTGCGTCTGTCTGGTGAGTGTGCGTTTCCTGTTTGTGCACCTGCCGGCGGTGGGAGGACGCGGGGGAGTCGTGGGAGGTGGTGAGCAGAAGCGAGTGGGAGAACAGAGGAGCTTTGTCACAGTTTGTCAGAGAGCATGAAGTCAGGCTGAGAAACCAGCAGAACAAAACTCCACAGATTTACCGAACCAGACCCAAAGAAACAGGAGTAAACGGAGATAAACGAGGGGCTTTTAGGCTTTTAGGCAAATTCCTTGTAAGTCTAAAAACCTACTTGGCAATAAACCTTATTCTGATTCTGATTCTGATTCTGATTCAAAGTTCTGCCCCTCATCTTTCATCTGTTGTTCGTCATTTTACATCTGAATAAAGTCCAAACGAAGCTGCTGGCTTTAAAGGATGAGCATCATCCGATCTGGACTTTATCAGAGCAGACCACAAAATGCAAAAGCAAAGTAGTGATGTTACAAACATGCAACTGTTTTTTAGCTATTTAAAAAAATTAGACTGCTTCTATGATCAAGTTTAGCCATGCTAACTTTAAGCTAAGTTAGCATTAGAACATCTTTAATAGTTTTCTCCCTTGAAATGCCCACAAAGGGTCAGTCTTCTTATCTTGCTGACCAATTTAAATTAAATTAGTATCACAATTTATTTGAAGCATTCCTAATAAATCCATTTTTTCTCCAATCTTTTTTATTGATTAAAAAAATGGACTGTCCTGGTGGAGAATGGACAATGGGGAACAAAGTAAGGATTTTTTTTAACTGAAAGTGATAAGAAAGACTTAACTAAACTCAAGAAAAACTAAGAAAATATTCAAAAGGTAACCAAACCCAAAGATAAAAAGTGGGAAACTTGAGGCAGGTTGAGATGCTGGAAGCAGCTATTTCAGTGGTTTGCACATAAAAAAGAGACAAAGAAACCAAAAAGTAAAGTTAAAAATGCTAACTTTCTGTTATCAGGCAGCCTGCATGTAAACAAAGATATCTTTAATATTCTTAATCCCCCCCAAGTTATTAGCACCAGGGTTCATCTGATCTAATTTCACTGTAAGAACGCCTGAGACGTCCTGTTTTCCCTCTAAACACGGTAAAGGTGCAGGTTTCCCGGGTTAACGGGTTTAGGGTGCAGACCTGAGTAGGGATGCAAACGGTTAATCGACTTTAGATTAATTGTCGATCAAGAGGTTGCTCGATCAAAATGTATTAATCACGATTAACCGCTAGAGGGTGCTAGCGCTTTACCAGGGTTGAAAACAAAATGAAGCGGGCGAAAAGAAGTGCGGTGTATGACCACTTCAATATTGTAAATTCAGGCAAAGAAGTCAAATGTTCTCTTTGTAATGCGGTATTGAAATATATGTCTGTTTCAAATGCAAGAACTGAGCCGGGTTTTTTTTAAATTAAAGATTTAGTTTTACCTTAACAACGTGTCTGCTTTCTTCTACTAATGCATAATTACTTGAGGAATGTATAATATAATACAATATAATTATGGTATCATAATGTTGGCTAATATAATATAATACCTCAATTATATTAAGGCCCTATTGAAGCTCTGAAACTCAGGTGAAAAACGCCGCTTATCAATTAATCGAAAGTCGATCGATAAGATAATCAACTAATGATTAATGAATTAATCGATCATTTGCATCCCTAGACCTGAGGCATGAGTGAAGGCTGGCTGTCCTCCAGCCGCTGCAGAGCCTCCAGCAGGAAGGGAGCCTCCCTGAAGCCCAGGAACCCGGCCACGTACGGGGCCGTCAGGGCCACCATGCGGCTGTCCTCATACACCACCTGAGGCCAGAAAGGGGTCGGAATAATTATAAAAATACACATTATTTTTAGAAAGCGCCTTTCATGCCACTCAGGGACACTCAACAGAGACCAGCGTAGTCAAAAGAACATGGAAACAGGAGAAAAATACAAGAAAAATACAAGAAAAATACAAGAAACACACAATAAACACATTCAAAACATCAGGAATGAATAAATAAAAGTGAAAATGAA